TGTTAATTTTAAAGTGGCTCTTAAAAGATCAAAACTATTTGATGACAAACTTATTGTGGTAGCAGTATAATGAAAATCAAAATAAATAACGATAATTTTGTGAACATTATATAAAAGAAAGTAAAATTTTATATTATTTGTATGGTAATTGATATAAAGGAACTAGTTTTGGCAATCGTAGAAGGGGAAGGGCTTAATCTAACTGTCAAAACTGATATTTTACCACTGTACCATAACATCCTTGTTACATTTTCAATACAGATCTTTCAATCTTCTTGAGCCGTTTTTTAATGGCTATTATTGATTCTTAGCGAGTTTTGCCCCTTCTTATTAATATCCATTAACCCTCCTAAAAATTTAGATACATATAACTAAAATATTAATATTTCACTGTGTATTCTTCCCCCTTCTTGCAATGTTTACAAGATCTTTTATATTATTTTTTTTGCACACCTTGTTACTTTTGTCAATTTTAATGATTTCATCACATCAAACCATTTACGGTATAGGAAACAATAACAGTGATCCAGTTTATTTCTTTTATTCAGTCAATGTCGGCTCCTTAAAGGTCATTGAAGTTTTTTTTTTGTGGCTGGTTACATGGAACCAGATTATTTAACTTTTCAAAAAAATATGTACATATAAATATGCTGTCGGTCAATAGTTGAAAATGACAGTATTACAAGTATTGATTGCATTTTATCTTGTTTTACTTAATTGACTTAATATTATTGAATGATTATCGAGTAAAATATTCCATTGATTACATGAACCAGCAAACGAACACGATCAGTAGACGGTTTATAGTAGTCTAGTTGTGTTTTAATTAAAAGCTTAACTTATGACGTGTTTATGTTTAATTTTAAAAAATTTCCTATATTATTATTTCTAATAAATAGAACTGCATTTAGCGTAAACGTTATTTATTACTGGTATGAGTAATAAACGTATAAAACTGGTAGAGATTCACTCAGGACTGGTCATTAAATCTTAAAGAACCAGTAAACAAATCAATTGTTTAGAAATAATCATGTTTCGTGACATATCCATAGTATTTACAGTATAGTTTTAGGAATTTTATAAAAATTAACTACTATTTTATGGCACTACAATGGAGAGTATATAAACCTCACTTACAACTCGATAGATAGATAGATAGATAGATAGACTAGACTAGACTATAGACTAGACTATAGACTAGACTATAGACTAGACTATAGACTAGACTATAGACTAGACTATAGACTAGACTATAGACTAGACTATAGACTAGACTATAGACTAGACTATAGACTAGACTATAGACTAGACTATAGACTAGACTATAGACTAGACTATAGACTAGACTATAGACTAGACTATAGACTAGACTATAGACTAGACTATAGACTAGACTATAGACTAGTCTATAGACTAGACTATAGACTAGACTATAGACTAGACTATAGACTAGACTACAGACTAGACTATAGACTAGACTATAGACTAGACTATAGACTAGACTATAGACTAGACTATAGACTAGACTATAGACTAGACTATAGACTAGACTATAGACTGGACTATAGACTAGACTATAGACTAGACTATAGACTAGACTATAGACTAGACTATAGACTGGACTATAGACTAGACTATAGACTAGACTATAGATTAGATTATAGATTAGACTATAGACTAGACTATAGATTAGACTATAGACTAGACTATAGATTAGACTATAGACTAGACTATAGATTAGACTATAGACTAGACTATAGATTAGACTATAGACTAGACTATAGACTAGACTATAGACTAGACTATAGACTAGAGTAGACTATAGACTAGACTATACTATAGACTAGACTATAGACTAGACTATAGACTAGACTATAGACTAGACTATAGACTAGACTATAGACTAGACTATAGACTAGACTAGACTATACTATAGACTAGACTATAGACTAGACTATAGACTAGACTATAGACTTGACTATAGACTAGACTATAAACTAGACCATAGACTAGACTATAGACTAGACTATAGACTAGAATATAGACTAGACTATAGACTACACTATAGACTAGACTATAGACTAGACTATAGACTATAGACTAGACTATAGACTAGACTATAGACTAGACTATAGACTAGACTATAGACTAGACTATAGACTAGACTATAGACTAGACTATAGACTAGACTATAGACTAGACTATAGACTAGACTATAGACTAGACTATAGACTAGACTATAGACTAGACTATAGATTAGATTATAGATTAGACTATAGACTAGACTATAGATTAGACTATAGACTAGACTATAGACTATACTAGACTAGACTAGACTAGACTAGACTAGACTAGACTAGACTAGACTAGACTATAGACTAGACTAGACTAGACTTAGACTAGACTATAGACTAGACTATAGACTAGACTATAGACTAGACTATAGACTAGACTATAGACCAGACTATAGACTAGACTATAGACTAGACTATAGACTAGACTATAGACTAGACTATAGGCTAGACTATAGACTAGACTATAGACTAGACTATAAACTAGACCATAGACTAGACTATAGACTAGACTATAGACTAGACTATAGACTAGACTATAGACTAGACTATAGACTAGACTATAGACTAGACTATAGACTAGACTATAGACTAGTCTATAGACTAGACTATAGACTAGACTATAGACTAGACTATAGACTAGACTATAGACTAGACTATAGACTAGACTATAGACTAGACTACAGACTAGACTATAGACTAGACTATAGACTAGACTATAGACTAGACTATAGACTAGACTATAGACTAGACTATAGATTAGATTATAGATTAGACTATAGACTAGACTATAGATTAGACTATAGACTAGACTATAGATTAGACTATAGACTAGACTATAGATTAGACTATAGACTAGACTATAGACTAGACTATAGACTAGACTATAGACTAGACTATAGACTAGACTATAGACTAGACTAGACTAGACTATAGACTAGACTATAGACTAGACTATAGACTAGACTATAGACTAGACTATAGACTAGACTATAGACTAGACTATAGACTAGACTATAGACTAGACTATAGACTAGACTATAGACTAGACTATAGACTAGACTATAGACTAGACTATAGACTAGACTATAGACTAGACTATAGACTAGACTATAAACTAGACCATAGACTAGACTATAGACTAGACTATAGACTAGAATATAGACTAGACTATAGACTACACTATAGACTAGACTATAGACTAGACTATAGACTGGACTATAGACTATAGAGTAGACTATAGACTAGACTATAGACTAGACTATAGACTAGACTATAGACTGGACTATAGACTAGATATAGACTAGACTATAGACTAGACTATAGACTAGACTATAGACTAGACTATAGACTAGATTATAGACTAGACTATAGACTAGACTATAGACTAGACTATAGACTAGACTATAGACTAGACTATAGACTAGACTATAGACTAGACTATAGACTAGACTATAGACTAGACTATAGACTAGACTATAGACTAGACTATAGACTAGACTATAGACTAGACTATAGACTAGACTATAGACTAGACTATAGACTAGACTATAGACTAGACTATAGACTAGACCATAGACTAGACCATAGACTAGACCATAGAATAGACCATAGACTAGAGTATAGACTAGACTGTAAAGTCCAGTCCTTAGTCTGTTAGGACTAATCTATTAGGACCCTAATCCGAAAATAAAACCATTAAAGTTGTTCTAAAATAATATTTATTATATTTTTCTTAAACGCAATTTAAAAAATTTTTTTGCATTATAAATTTAGTGAGATTTTACTTTATTCGGGATTTCAGATGTCCGAACTTGGATAGTTTTTCCTGTTGTAAAAAAAAAGGAATACAATTAGGATAAATATTGTATTATATTAAGATCAATAATTACCTTTTTTGTAGTAATAATAAGCTACTTTTTGTATGGGATATTCCAAAAGTATTGTAACGAGGAAAGCCACACAAAGGGAAAATAAAAATAGGACAATCGCAGTAGACGACTAAAAAAGAACTAAATTGATAAAAATATTCTTTTTGAATTTTGCTTAAAAACAAATTACATGTTGCAAGTGATTGACATATATCGGATCACGTGTATGACCATTTAGTAAATATAAAATGGAAAATGCCATAAATATAATTGGAATGATAATCTGGCCAGTAAACGAAATGCTGAATGGCAAAGAAGTTCCGAAACTGATACTAAAAAGAAATGCAATTTTAATAAAATTATAGGCATGTATTTTAAATACTTACATGATTTACAAAACATGCCCAAAAATACTAATCCGCCAAAGACAATTACCACAAACAAATTACGATTCAAACCCGCATACAGAGCCGTCCATATAGATGGTTCATAAATATAAACACCGTTCCCAGCCAACATATCCATACACCTATAGCTAAACAAGACCAAAATGCAAATTCAAATATCTCGCTGGGAATACGAGATAATTGTTTGTGAAATTCATCATTATGAGCATATTTCTCGTAAATTTCACCACAAATTATGCCAAAATAACCGCCTAAATTCGTATAGAATGGAATGAATAATCTGTGATAGACTTCTTCTTCATCGCCGACATGAATATAACGGAAACTTCTGAGGAATAAAAGATTTGTGCTGGTAATTTATAGAGTTTTTTAACGTTTAACAATTGCGAGAACTTACTCTGGTGATATTAGAAAACATGGTTCTGTTTTGTAAAAATAAGAAATACTAAAGGGTATAAGAACAGTTAGAGTTGCTAATGTAGTTAGAATTTTCTTTTATACTGTGGATATCTGAAATTAAATGAAGTTGGGGTCTTGAGAATTTATATAAAATGAAAGTCCATAGACTAGTCAATAGTCTAGTCAGTAATCTGGTCATTAGACTAATCGCTAGAGTAATCAACTGACTAGTCCGTAGACTAGTTAACAGACTTTTGTATAAAATAGTCAATAGACCGGTCCATAGGCAAGTCAATAGACCAGTCTATTAAAAATTCAATAGACTATCTCAAAGACTAGTCAATAGACTAGTTAATGGACCAGTCCATAGACTTGTCTATGTACTTATCAATAAATACGTCAATAGATTATTCTATAGACGAGTCAACATACCATTCTATAGACTTGTCAATCAAGCCCATAGTCTAGTCCGTAGACTAGTCAATAGACTCGTCCATAGAGTTCGAAAACAATTCATTAGACTAGTCCATTAACTATTCAAAAGTTTTGTCAATATATTAGTCTATAGACTAGTCCATAACCTAGTCTATAGACTAGTTATGGACTAGTCTATAGACTAGTTAGGACTAGTCTATAGACTAGGTTATGGACTAGTCTATAGACTAGGTTATGGACTAGTCTATAGACTAATATATTGACAAAACTTTTGAATAGTTAATGGACTAGTCTAATGAATTGTTTTCGAACTCTATGGACGAGTCTATTGACTAGTCTACGGACTAGACTATGGGCTTGATTGACAAGTCTATAGAATGGTATGTTGACTCGTCTATAGAATAATCTATTGACGTATTTATTGATAAGTACATAGACAAGTCTATGGACTGGTCCATTAACTAGTCTATTGACTAGTCTTTGAGATAGTCTATTGAATTTTTAATAGACTGGTCTATTGACTTGCCTATGGACCGGTCTATTGACTATTTTATACAAAAGTCTGTTAACTAGTCTACGGACTAGTCAGTTGATTACTCTAGCGATTAGTCTAATGACCAGATTACTGACTAGACTATTGACTAGTCTATGGACTTTCATTTTTATATAAATTCTCAAGACCCCAACTTCATTTAATTTCAGATATCCACAGTATAAAAAGAAAATTCTAACTACATTAGCAACTCTAACTGTTCTTATACCCTTTAGTATTTCTTATTTTTACAAAACAGAACCATGTTTTCTAATATCACCAGAGTAAGTTCTCGCAATTGTTAAACGTTAAAAAACTCTATAAATTACCAGCACAAATCTTTTTATTCCTCAGAAGTTTCCGTTATATTCATGTCGGCGATGAAGAAGAAGTCTATCACAGATTATTCATTCCATTCTATACGAATTTAGGCGGTTATTTATTTGGCATAATTTGTGGTGAAATTTACGAGAAATATGCTCATAATGATGAATTTCACAAACAATTATCTCGTATTCCCAGCGAGATATTTGAATTTGCATTTTGGTCTTGTTTAGCTATAGGTGTATGGATATGTTGGCTGGGAACGGTGTTTATATTTTATGAACCATCTATATGGACGGCTCTGTATGCGGGTTTGAATCGTAATTTGTTTGTGGTAATTGTCTTTGGCGGATTAGTATTTTTGGGCATGTTTTGTAAATCATGTAAGTATTTAAAATACATGCCTATAATTTTTATTAAAATTGCATTTCTTTTTAGTATCAGTTTCGGAACTTCTTTGCCATTCAGCATTTCGTTTACTGGCCAGATTATCATTCCAATTATATTTATGGCATTTTTCCATTTTATATTTACTAAATGGTCATACACGTGATCCGATATATGTCAATCACTTGCAACATGTAATTTGTTTTTAAGCAAAATTCAAAAAGAATATTTTTATCAATTTAGTTCTTTTTTTAGTCGTCTACTGCGATTGTCCTATTTTTATTTTCCCTTTGTGTGGCTTTCCTCGTTACAATACTTTTGGAATATCCCATACAAAAAGTAGCTTATTATTACTACAAAAAAGGTAATTATTGATCTTAATATAATACAATATTTATCCTAATTGTATTCCTTTTTTTTTACAACAGGAAAAACTATCCAAGTTCGGACATCTGAAATCCCGAATAAAGTAAAATCTCACTAAATTTATAATGCAAAAAAATTTTTTAAATTGCGTTTAAGAAAAATATAATAAATATTATTTTAGAACAACTTTAATGGTTTTATTTTCGGATTAGGGTCCTAATAGATTAGTCCTAACAGACTAAGGACTGGACTTTACAGTCTAGTCTATACTCTAGTCTATGGTCTATTCTATGGTCTAGTCTATGGTCTAGTCTATGGTCTAGTCTATAGTCTAGTCTATAGTCTAGTCTATAGTCTAGTCTATAGTCTAGTCTATAGTCTAGTCTATAGTCTAGTCTATAGTCTAGTCTATAGTCTAGTCTATAGTCTAGTCTATAGTCTAGTCTATAGTCTAGTCTATAGTCTAGTCTATAGTCTAGTCTATAGTCTAGTCTATAGTCTAGTCTATAGTCTAGTCTATAGTCTAGTCTATAATCTAGTCTATAGTCTAGTCTATAGTCTAGTCTATAGTCTAGTCTATAGTCTAGTCTATATTCTAGTCTATAGTCCAGTCTATAGTCTAGTCTATAGTCTAGTCTATAGTCTAGTCTATAGTCTACTCTATAGTCTATAGTCCAGTCTATAGTCTAGTCTATAGTCTAGTCTATAGTGTAGTCTATAGTCTAGTCTATATTCTAGTCTATAGTCTAGTCTATAGTCTAGTCTATGGTCTAGTTTATAGTCTAGTCTATAGTCTAGTCTATAGTCTAGTCTATAGTCTAGTCTATAGTCTAGTCTATAGTCTAGTCTATAGTCTAGTCTATAGTCTAGTCTATAGTCTAGTCTATAGTCTAGTCTATAGTCTAGTCTATAGTCTAGTCTATAGTCTAGTCTATAGTCTAGTCTATAGTCTAGTCTATAGTCTAGTCTAGTCTAGTCTATAGTCTAGTCTATAGTCTAGTCTATAGTCTAGTCTATAGTCTAGTCTATAGTCTAGTCTATAGTCTAATCTATAGTCTAGTCTATAGTCTAATCTATAGTCTAGTCTATAGTCTAATCTATAGTCTAGTCTATAGTCTAATCTATAATCTAATCTATAGTCTAGTCTATAGTCTAGTCTATAGTCTAGTCTATAGTCTAGTCTATAGTCTAGTCTATAGTCTAGTCTAGTCTAGTCATAGTCTAGTCTATAGTCTAGTCTATAGTCTAGTCTATAGTCTAGTCTATAGTCTAGTCTATAGTCTAGTCTATAGACTAGTCTATAGTCTAGTCTATAGTCTAGTCTATAGTCTAGTCTATAGTCTAGTCTATAGTCTAGTCTATAGTCTAGTCTATAGTCTAGTCTATAGTCTAGTCTATGGTCTAGTTTATAGTCTAGTCTATAGTCTAGTCTATAGTCTAGCCTATAGTCTAGTCTATAGTCTAGTCTATAGTCTAGTCTATAGTCTAGTCTATAGTCTGGTCTATAGTCTAGTCTATAGTCTAGTCTATAGTCTAGTCTATAGTCTAGTCTATAGTCTAGTCTATAGTCTAGTCTAGTCTAGTCTATAGTCTAGTCTAGTCTAGTCTAGTCTAGTCTAGTCTAGTCTAGTCTAGTCTAGTCTAGTCTATAGTCTAGTCTATAGTCTAATCTATAGTCTAGTCTATAGTCTAATCTATAATCTAATCTATAGTCTAGTCTATAGTCTAGTCTATAGTCTAGTCTATAGTCTAGTCTATAGTCTAGTCTATAGTCTAGTCTATAGTCTAGTCTATAGTCTAGTCTATAGTCTAGTCTATAGTCTAGTCTATAGTCTAGTCTATAGTCTAGTCTATAGTCTAGTCTATAGTCTATAGTCTAGTCTATAGTCTAGTCTATAGTGTAGTCTATAGTCTAGTCTATATTCTAGTCTATAGTCTAGTCTATAGTCTAGTCTATGGTCTAGTTTATAGTCTAGTCTATAGTCAAGTCTATAGTCTAGTCTATAGTCTAGTCTATAGTCTAGTCTATAGTCTAGTCTATAGTCTAGTCTATAGTCTAGTCTATAGTCTAGTCTATAGTCTAGTCTATAGTCTAGTCTATAGTCTAGTCTATAGTCTAGTCTATAGTCTAGTCTATAGTCTAGTCTATAGTCTAGTCTATAGTCTAGTCTATAGTCTAGTCTATAGTCTAATCTATAGTCTAGTCTATAGTCTAATCTATAGTCTAGTCTATAGTCTAATCTATAGTCTAGTCTATAGTCTAATCTATAGTCTAGTCTATAGTCTAATCTATAGTCTAGTCTATAGTCTAGTCTATAGTCTAGTCTAGTCTAGTCTATAGTCTAGTCTATAGTCTAGTCTATAGTCTAGTCTATAGTCTAGTCTATAGTCTAGTCTATAGTCTAGTCTATAGTCTAGTCTATAGTCTAGTCTATAGTCTAGTCTATAGTCTAGTCTATAGTCTAGTCTATAGTCTAGTCTATAGTCTAGTCTATAGTCTAGTCTATAGTCTAGTCTATAGTCTAGTCTATAGTCTAGTCTATAGTCTAGTCTATAGTCTAGTCTATAGTCTAGTCTATAGTCTAGTCTATAGTCTAGTCTATAGTCTAGTCTATAGTCTAGTCTATAGTCTAGTCTATAGTCTAGTCTAGTCTATAGTCTAGTCTATAGTCTAGTCTATAGTCTAGTCTATAGTCTAGTCTATAGTCTAGTCTATAGTCTAGTCTATAGTCTAGTCTATAGTCTAGTCTATAGTCTAGTCTATAGTCTAGTCTATAGTCTAGTCTATAGTCTAGTCTATAGTCTAGTCTAGTCTAGTCTATCTATCTATCTATCTATCTATCGAGTTGTAAGTGAGGTTTATATACTCTCCATTGTAGTGCCATAAAATAGTAGTTAATTTTTATAAAATTCCTAAAACTATACTGTAAATACTATGGATATGTCACGAAACATGATTATTTCTAAACAATTGATTTGTTTACTGGTTCTTTAAGATTTAATGACCAGTCCTGAGTGAATCTCTACCAGTTTTATACGTTTATTACTCATACCAGTAATAAATAACGTTTACGCTAAATGCAGTTCTATTTATTAGAAATAATAATATAGGAAATTTTTTAAAATTAAACATAAACACGTCATAAGTTAAGCTTTTAATTAAAACACAACTAGACTACTATAAACCGTCTACTGATCGTGTTCGTTTGCTGGTTCATGTAATCAATGGAATATTTTACTCGATAATCATTCAATAATATTAAGTCAATTAAGTAAAACAAGATAAAATGCAATCAATACTTGTAATACTGTCATTTTCAACTATTGACCGACAGCATATTTATATGTACATATTTTTTTTGAAAAGTTAAATAATCTGGTTCCATGTAACCAGCCACAAAAAAAAAACTTCAATGACCTTTAAGGAGCCGACATTGACTGAATAAAAGAAATAAACTGGATCACTGTTATTGTTTCCTATACCGTAAATGGTTTGATGTGATGAAATCATTAAAATTGACAAAAGTAACAAGGTGTGCAAAAAAAATAATATAAAAGATCTTGTAAACATTGCAAGAAGGGGGAAGAATACACAGTGAAATATTAATATTTTAGTTATATGTATCTAAATTTTTAGGAGGGTTAATGGATATTAATAAGAAGGGGCAAAACTCGCTAAGAATCAATAATAGCCATTAAAAAACGGCTCAAGAAGATTGAAAGATCTGTATTGAAAATGTAACAAGGATGTTATGGTACAGTGGTAAAATATCAGTTTTGACAGTTAGATTAAGCCCTTCCCCTTCTACGATTGCCAAAACTAGTTCCTTTATATCAATTACCATACAAATAATATAAAATTTTACTTTCTTTTATATAATGTTCACAAAATTATCGTTATTTATTTTGATTTTCATTATACTGCTACCACAATAAGTTTGTCATCAAATAGTTTTGATCTTTTAAGAGCCACTTTAAAATTAACAAAAATAATAAAGGTGTGCTAAACACATAAGCGGTTGGGAAGTATACGTTGCATTTTTCTAAAATTTCTATATAAAATTCTTCTGAAAATTCTATATTAAATTGGCATAATATGTATGTATGTATGTATATAGATATAAAGTATTGCAAATATTTAAACAATTCCGTATACATACAATATTTTAACAGTCAATTAACACTTAATTAAATATTTCTTCGCTTATAAAAATTCAATTATAGATTAAGTAAATGAATGAATGATTAAAAAAATTTAAAAAGTTCTAATTGAAGAACGAAAAAGTACCAAAACTATAGACTAGAATATAGACTAGACAACATACTAGACTATAGACTAAACTATAGACTATTCTACATATTGGACTGTCAACTAGACTACAGACTAAGCTGTACACTAGACTATAGACTAAAATATAGATAAGACTATAAACTAGACAATAACTAGTCTATAAGCTAGACTATAGACTAGGTTATCGACTAGACTATGGACTAGATTATAGACTAGACTATAGACTAGACTACAGATTAAACTATAAACTGGACCATATACTAGACTATAGATATGAATATAGACTAAACTATAGACTAGTCTGTAGACTAAACTGTAGACTAGACTATATATTAGACTACAGAGCAGGCTATAGACTAGACTATAGACTAAACTGTAGACTATACTATAGACTAAACTATATACTAGACTAGACTATAGACTAGAGCATAGACTAGACTATAGACTAGACTATAGACTAAACTATAAACTAGAGCATAGGCTAGAGCATAGACTAGACTATGGACTAGACTAATAGACTAGACTATAGGCTAAACTGTAGACTATACTATAGACTAAACTATATACTAGACCATAGACTAGACTATAGACTAGACTATAGACTAAACTATAAACTAGAGCATAGGCTAGAGCATAGACTAGACTATAGACTAGACTATAGCCTAGACTATAGACTAGACTATAGACTAGACTATAGACTAGACTATAGACTAGACTATAGACTAGACTACATAGACTAGACTATAGACTAGACTATAGACTAGACTATAGACTAGACTATAGACTAGACTATAGACTAGACTATAGACTAGACTAAGACTAGACTATAGACTAGACTATAGACTAGACTATAGACTAGGACTATAGACTAGACTATAGACTAGACTATAGACTAGACTATAGACTAGACTATAGACTAGAATATAGACTAGACTATAGACTAGACTAGACTAGACTATAGACTAGACTATAGACTAGACTATAGACTAGACTATAGACTAGACTATAGACTAGACTATAGACTAGACTATAGACTAGACTATAGACTAGACTATAGACTAGACTATAGACTAGACTATAGACTAGACTATAGACTAGACTATAGACTAGACTATAGACTAGACTATAGACTAGACTATAGACTAGACTATAGACTAGACTATAGACTAGACTATAGACTAGACTATAGACTAGACTATAGACTAGACTATAGACTAGACTATAGACTAGACTATAGACTAGACTATAGACTAGACTATAGACTAGACTATAGACTAGACTATAGACTACTAGACTAGACTATAGACTAGACTATAGACTAGACTATAGACTAGACTATAGACTAGACTATAGACTAGACTATAGACTAGACTATAGACTAGACTATAGACTAGACTATAGACTAGACTATAGACTAGACTATAGACTAGACTATAGACTAGACTATAGACTAGACTATAGACTAGACTATAGACTAGACTATAGACTAGACTATAGACTAGACTATAGACTAGACTATAGACTAGACTATAGACTAGACTATAGACTAGACTATAGACTAGACTATAGACTAGACTATAGACTAGACTATAGACTAGACTAGACTAGACTATAGACTAGACTATAGACTAGACTATAGACTAGACTATAGACTAGACTATAGACTAGACTATAGACTAGACTATAGACTATAGACTAGACTATGGACTAAACTATAGACTAGACTATAGACTAGACTATAGACTAGACTATAGACTAGACTATAGACTAGACTATAGACTAGACTATAGACTAGACTATAGACTAGACTATAGACTAGACTAGACTATAGACTATAGACTAGACTATAGACTAGACTATAGACTAGACTATAGACTAGACTAGACTAGACTATAGACTAGACTATAGACTAGACTATAGACTAGACTATAGACTAGACTATAGACTAGACTATAGACTAGACTATAGACTAGACTATAGACTAGACTATAGACTAGACTATAGACTAGACTATATAGACTATAGACTAGACTATAGACTAGACTATAGACTAGACTATAGACTAGACTATAGACTAGACTATAGACTAGACTATAGACTAGACTATAGACTAGACTATAGACTAGACTATAGCTAGACTATAGACTAGACTATAGACTAGACTATAGACTAGACTATAGACTAGACTATAGACTAGACTATAGACTAGACTATAGACTAGACTATAGACTAGACTATAGACTAGACCTATAGACTAGACTAGACTAGACTATAACTAGACTATAGACTAGACTACAGTGTGAATATAGACTATGTCAACAAAAGCTGAACATCATTAAAAGATAACTTCATAATTATTGTTATAAAATTTGTTATTGTTTTTCGTTGTTTTTTCATCATTATACAATTATTTTTAATAAATTTGCATAACATTTAAGATTACTTAACACTCAATTTAAAGCGGATATAAACAAACTTAGGAATAGAAATAATTGTGACTTATATATTGACCTTAAAGTCAATAAATTTTATTTTTCAAATATGTAATTGTAACAGAAATACATAAGACATTCGTAACTAATGTCTAATATGCTTCGACAACTATTGATAATTGTTAAATAGTTAGTTATCCCTATAGTTTTAATAAATAATAAAAAAAAAATGTTATTTAAACAATAAACAAGTATTTATTCTACTTGTTCTTTAAAACAATTAAACGTTTATATTCATATGTGCATATGTAAGTATTTACATTAAAGTTTTTTTCCTTAATAGCACAAACTAAAATCCAATGTTAAGTTAAATATAGTTAAGATATTTAGATTCAGTAACGATTTAAAACTCGTACGCAACGGTTTATCCGGAAGAACTATAAGGATATTTAAACAAAAAAAAACTATTCGCACATAAATTTCCTTGTAAAAAATGAAGTATTCGGTTAGTGTTCCTTTAGTAAATTCGTTACTGATATTAATTTCGATAACAGCTAGTGTTTGTGGTCAACAGAAATGTTAGTATAATTTATGATTGAATTTACAGCATTAATAAGAATTATAATAAACCGGATATATTATTTAAATGTTTGCTTATAAATGTAATATTATATTTCCGCTAAATATGGAAAATAATTACACTGTGCTACAAAATAATAGAATATATAAACGATACTAAGTTGGGAAATTTTATGGAGTTAATCTAAAGGTCTTTAAAAGTTATTACAGAAAAGTGTGGACTTTCACCTTACGATGTTCGAGGACTGTTGTGTGGTTAATGAATATCTTGCTAACACACCCGTAAACAACGTCGTAAACAATACTTTTCGGACCACCCAGTGAAAACCTTTGAAGACAAATAATACTAAATAAACTTAAAAACAACTCAGCTCCTACAAGATACCGAATTATTTCTGAATTAATACATTTCTAACAATAGTCCGAACTTTAAGCGAAGTGTGTACAATACACTATAGACGACTATAGAGGAGCCTATGGGGGAAACTGTAGACGAGACTAAAGTCCAGATTAGAAATCAGCCTATAGACGAGACTGTAGACGAGGCTATAGTCCAGACTATAGATGAGACTATAGTCCAGACTAGAGACTAGACTCTAGTCCAGACTATAGACTAGACTATAATCCAGACTATCGACGAGACTATAGTCCAGACTATAGTCGAGACTATAGATGAGACTATAGTTCAGACTGTAGACGAGACTATAGTCCAGACTATAGACGAGACTATAGTCGAGACTATAGATGAGACTATAGTTCAGACTATAGACGAGACTATAGTCCAGACTATAGACGAGACTATAGTCCAGACTATAGACGAGACTATAGTCCAGACTATAGACGAGACTATAGTCCAGACTATAGACGAGACTATAGTCCAGACTATAGACTATAGTCCAGACTATAGACTGTAGACGAGACTATAGTCCAGACTATAGATGAGACTATAGTCTAGACTAGAGACTAGACTCTAGTCCAGACTATAGACTAGACTATAATCCAGACTATCGACGAGACTATAGTCCAGACTATAGTCGAGACTATAGATGAGACTATAGTTCAGACTATAGACGAGACTATAGTCCAGACTATAGACGAGACTATAGTCGAGACTATAGATGAGACTATAGTTCAGACTATAGACGAGACTATAGTCCAGACTATAGACGAGCCTAAAGTCCAGACTATAGAAGAGCCTATAGTCCAGACTATAGACGAGACTATAGTCCAGACTATAGACGAGACTATAGTCCAGACTATAGACGAGACTATAGTCCAGACTATAGACGAGACTATAGTCCAGACTATAGACGAGACTATAGTCCAGACTATAGACGAGACTATAGTCCAGACTATAGACTATAGTCCAGACTATAGACTGTAGACGAGACTATAGTCCAGACTATAGATGAGACTATAGTCTAGACTAGAGACTAGACTCTAGTCCAGACTATAGACTAGACTATAATCCAGACTATCGACGAGACTATAGTCCAGACTATAGTCGAGACTATAGATGAGACTATAGTTCAGACTATAGACGAGACTATAGTCCAGACTATAGACGAGACTATAGTCGAGACTATAGATGAGACTATAGTTCAGACTATAGACGAGACTATAGTCCAGACTATAGACGAGCCTAAAGTCCAGACTATAGAAGAGCCTATAGTCCAGACTATAGACGAGACTGTAGTCCAGACTATAGACGAGACTATAGTCCAGACTATAGTCCAGACTATAGACGAGACTATAGTTCAGACTATGGACGAGACTATAGTCCAGATAATAGACGAGAATATAGTTCAGACTGTAGGCAAGGCTATAGTCGTGACTATAAGCAAGGCTATAGTCCTGACTATAGGCTAGGCTATAGTCCTGACTATAGACAAGGCTATAGTCCTGACTATAGACAAGGCTATAGTCCTAACTATAGATAAGGCTATAGTCCAGACTATAGACGGGGCTATAGTCCGGACGAGTCTTTTTACTAATTTTTAACTTTTTTTCATTTCTTCATTAGTTTACTCCATTCACGATTTCCCACCTTTATACAAATTCGATGATTATGATTCATGTCTGGAGCAAAAATACCACAATACTCCGCCCACCTATTGTATGGTCTATGCTGAAATCAAACCAAATAACTCTTCAGATATGTGGCAAGAAATGATGCAACATTATGGTGAATATCCATTTCGCTATAGACGTGATCATCTATTTTTTGGTGTTTGTATGGAACGATGTTTAAAGTTTGCCAAAACTAAGGAAATTTATAAATTAAATGAAGATGATTTAATTAAAAATGAGGTCAGAACAAAAGATTTTTAAAATATTTTTAGATTTTTATAAAAAGAATATTTCAATTAATAAACAGATAACGGATTATTTCGGTCACGTACATAAAAGGCCCTTAGATGAGCAATTTCGTAAGGAATATCATGATTTAATACACAATTGTTTGAATCATGAATTTCAACAGAAATATGATCTAAATTTAAGAACCTATATAGAATATTGTGAAGGACCTAAGGATGTTAACCAAGAAGAAACTAAGGGTGAGGAAAAGTTATAACCTATTGGGATTCAAAATTATTATTTACGATATTCCAGATCCCTTAGAAAGTTTATTATATAAAATACTGGGTGTTATTATTATACTAAATATTCTATCAACTCTATATGACTTTTGTCTGAAATTGCAGCAACCGGAAGAAAATCAAACTAATGATTTCTATAAAATTAATCCCCAACAAAAAGGTAATTAAAAAATTTATTAATTTGATTATATTCAATTAAATATTTTATAATGTTTACATGTATAGTATTATAACAATTAAAAACTAATTACACTTCTATTAATTTCATTTCAAAAGTTTCTAGATTATTAACATCATTTTCAGTGTGTCGCAATTACTATCGTCTAGTTCAACCTTATTTCAGTGATGTTGGTAAAGATTTTCAATTTCTAGATGGTTATCGTTCGATCTGTATGATGTTTGCCCTTTTTGGTCATACATTTTTCTGTGAATATCAACACATAGCAAATCCACAATATTTCGAGAAGAGTTCCAAAGATGAGAATAATTTGTGGGTTTTAAATACGACCATGATCATCGAAACATATTTTGTTATGAGTGGCTTGTTGTTGTTTATTAAATTCCAGCAAGGACGTTATGTCAGTCCGCAGACAAGTTGGAAGAAGTTTTTCTTTATCTATGTACAATTTATGGTATTTCGTTTTATAAGGTAATCTTTAATTCTTAAATTCTAGCAATTAGATAAAAACATCAGTTTTAATTATGACTTTCATGACGCCAGAAAAATTTCGGAATCATTTCAAAAACGACAAATTTTGTTTTAAAATTTTTCTCTTTCCATAAATAGTTAGTAATTTTAATTTAATTTTTCTTTTATTTTGTACAGATTTTTACCTTCAGTGGGCTTACTTGTACTAGTCAATGCCACTATTCTCACCCGTCTACAAAATGGTCCCTTTTGGCGTCATATTACAGAACCAGTTCGTGTTTTTAGCCGCGAAAGAGGCTGGAGAAATTTATTAATGATTAATAATTTCTCGCATAAAGAAAGTGTAAGTGTACAAATTTAAGACGAAACTATAGTTTACACTATAGATGAGGCTATAGTCCAGACTAAAGATTATAGTTTGATCTATAGACGATACTATAGTGCATACTTAATATGAGACTATAGTCCAGATTCTAGACCAAACAATAGACAAAGGTGTAGTATAGAATAAAAACGAGAGTATAGTTCCCACTATTGGCCGGACTACAGGCGAATCTATGGTCCGGACTATAGACTAATCTATAGTCCAGGTTATAAACGAGTCTATAGTCCTAATTATAGATGAGATTATAGTCCCGACTGTAGACGATACTAGAGGCCAGACTATAGATGAGCCTATGGTCCAGACTATAGACCATACTATATTCCAGATTATAAAGAAGTCTATAGTCCCGACTGTAGATGAGACTATAGTCCAGATTATAGACAATACTATAGTCCAGACTATAGATGAGACTATTAATGAGTTTATAAAGGAGTCTATAGTCCAGACTATAGATGAGACTTTGGTCCATAAAATAGACGAGACTGTTATCCAGGCTATGGACGGAACCATAGTAGATAAGACTAAACGCGCGAATAATGACGTGCTATAGTCCGGACTATAGACAAGACTACAGTCCAGATTATTGATGAGACTATATTTCAGACTATAAATGAGACTATAGTCTAGACTATAGACGATTGTAGAAGATATCATAGTCCTGAATATAGTCGAGACTACAGACGAGACTATTCTCGAGATTATAGACGAGACTATAGTCCAGACTATAGACGAAACTATAATCCAAACTATAGGCGAGACTATCGTCCTGACTATAGACAATACTATAAACCAAACTATACATGAGGCTATAGTGCAGATTATAGTTCTAATAATAGTCAAGACTATAATCCAGATTAGACGATATAGATTTAGACGAGTTTATAGTACAGACTATAGACGAGGTAATTATAAACAAGCCAATATTGTCGACTATAGGCGAGACTATAATCCAGACTATAGACAAGACTATAGTCCTGACTATAGACATGACTATATTTCAGACGAGACTATAATACAAACTAATGTCGAGACTGTAGTACACATTATAGACGATACTATAATCCAGACTATAGACAAGACTATAGTCCTGACTATAGACAAGACTATATTTCAGACGAGACTATAATTCAAACTAATGTCGAGACTGTAATACACATTATAGATGAGACTATACTCCTGACTATAGGCGAAACTATACTCAAGACTATAGACGATACCATAGTCGAGACTATAGGTTATACTATTCTCCAGACTATAGACAATAAATACAGTTCTGAATATAGATGAGACTAAAGTTCAAACTATAGACTACACTACAGTCTATATTATAGACTTAAGTCTAGACTATATTCCAGACTACATCTCGAATAATAACAATAACAATTTATTTATTTTATTTAACAATTTCCAGGCTAGTCATCATACTTGGTATATAGCCGCTGATTGGCAGTTATTTGCCTTATATTTATTTATTATTATGATTGTAGCCAAGTAAGTACTGAAATAACTAGTTAATTGATATTGATCATTCTTTTTTTTCCGATTTTTTTTATAAAAATTTTAAAATTTTACAAATATTTCAAATTTAGAATAATATTAAAACGTTCGATTTTATGACTTCCAAAGTTCATGATGAAGAGTGATTTATGCTAATATCTGAAATAAATAATATATATCTATCTCTGTTTCAGATATCCAAAAATAAAAAAGCATATATTTTCGACATTGGCAATTTTGTCATTTGTGATACCCTTCTCCATTAGCTATTTGCTAAAGTTAAAACCCTGTTTTATAATAAAACCAGAGTAAGTTCTTACGAAATGAAAACTAAAAACAAATTTTAATATTTAATTTATTGTCGCAGATCCTATCGCTATTCTTTTTTTAAAGATATCGATGTATATTTTAATATTTATACCCCTTTCTATACGAATTTATTCGGTTATTTGTTTGGCATAATATGTGCCGAAATTTATTTAAAATATACACGCACTGAAGAGATACGTAAAACTATACGTGAAAAACCTATATATACAGTTGCTACCCATTTTGTGGCTATTGTGGCATTTTTATTATTTTGGTTAGGTCCCATATTAGAGGTAAGAGCGACGCCATCTATATGGTCAGCATTATATGCCGGGCTGCATCGTATTTTGTGGATTATGTTTGTGTGTGGTTTACCTTTGGTAATGATGAGCTGTAATTGTGGTTGTAAGTCGCGTATTTGGTTTGAAATGATGGGAGATAAAGCTATTTATTATACAAAATATAATTTCAGGGATCGCTTATGAATTTTGTTGTCTTCCCATATTCCGGATTTTAGCCAGATTATCATTTCAAGTATATATTTGGCACATGACCATTGTATATCTGATAAATGGTTATCAACGTCAACCCTATTATGTTGATAACTTGTATTTTGTAAGTTTTAAATGATATATGTTCTTAAATATCTGTTTAAAAAATATTATTCCTCTATAGTTTACACAATTTGTTATATTATATTGTTTCTCAAATGCTGTGGCGTTCATAATAGCTTTATTTGTAGAGTATCCCATAGCTCAAAGTGTACAAGTATTACAATCGAAAAGTGAGTATAAATACATAGATATGGGTTTTGTAATCCTAATAGTTTAATGTGTTACATATTATCTGTATTTCTAATTGCATTTTATTTAACAGGTAGCGACAAATCGGTTAAGAAGTCCTAAGAAAGAATTTGTATTATATTTTTAAGGCATTTGTTTTTGTTAAATATTTCTTGGTTTTTATTTTTAAGAGAGATACAATAAAATATTGAAATGTACATAGTTTTATTAGTTTAATAATAAAAAAGTTTAAATTATATTTTCAAAGGAAAGGTCCTCAGTTGTTGTGATTTTTGTGTTATAAATAATTCGCTTATCTGGTGTACTACATACGGAAAAGAATTTATATTAAATATATACCATATTATTGACGGAAATATAGTCATGTCTGAAGACTACAAATATAAGAGACTATAATCAAGAGTATAGTTCAGACTATAGCCCAATAAACCAGACTACAGTCGAGACTATATATCAGACTGTAGATAGTCTACTGATCACACTGTAGTCCAGAATATAGTCTATAAAACAGACTATAGTACAGTTGATAGACCAGACTGAAGACGACACTATTGTCGAAACTATAGTCCAGACTGTTGTCGAAACTATAGTCCACACTATAGTGATCACTATAGTCCAGACTTTGGACGAACTATAGACGATACTATATTTTACATAGCCAAGATATTCTATTTCGAGTCATCTGGCACCGTCCCAATTGGGTCTTTTAGGTCTAAATTCGAATATTACACTTTAAAACACTTCCCCTTTACTTCGCTGAAATTTCAATTAAAACGAACTAAACGATTAGAAATAACAGCCTGATTATATTTTCTACTACCCCACTGTTTCCTTTAGTTAAAAATATTGAATTGTAGATTTATAACCCTTTTCCGCACATCTGGCATCACGTTTTAATATAGAAGATACAACTCTTTTGCCAACAACTATCGATTGCTACACACATCACTAGCACACAGACACACTCTCATCACTAACTCAAAGTGACAAATCAACGTGCAAGATATATTAATTATAACACAGAAAAAAATAATTTTAAAAAATTTTCAATTAAACGATTAATCAAAAATTTTAAAAGGGTTCAATTCATTTTGTATTTGATTCATAAAAATATAATCAAATACGTATTTAACAACAACAAAAATAGAAAAAAATAAAAATTTTGTGTACGAAATCAATTATAAGTAGTAATTGAATATACAATTTTTGTTATAGGTTGAACTTCAAAAAATAAAATAATTGAAAACGAGGTTTTGGTAATTGAAATCGTTTTTCAGTTTTTTCTGTGTAAGGTAGTGTTAACAGAACAGCTGATTTTTTGCTAATACACTTTTGATTTTTTTTACATGTAGTTTGACAGCATGCTGGTACTTTTGAATGTAGGCATACTGTCAAACTTCATATATAAAAATTAAAATGAATTCGCTCTGTTTTTCTGAATTCGCCGACGACACTACCTTATAATTAATATATCTTGTTATGTATAATGAATACATTACAACGGAATCCCACTACGATATTGCAATTTTTTGGAATACAATTTTTATTTCGTTAATGGGGAGAAAAAAAAGTACCAATAGGGGGTAAAAACGGAAAATTTGATTTTATTCAAACCCAATGAGTCAATTTAAATAAAATTTTTAGATTTAGAAACACTAAATATGCTAATAGGGGGTTATTTGGAACCCCGGTAGCTGGTGATATTTCTAGTACTGTTTTCGTTCTCCAACTGGTATATTTTGAGTTTTCTATGATATTAAACCGAAACATGACGATAATAATAAAAAGACTTT